ACACACACACACACACACACACACAGACAGCCTCTCGACAATATGCGTTTTTGCTGGCTGTAGCAGGTACTCAGGTCATTAACTGCATGAATGGTTTTTATGCAGTTAATGACCTGAGTACCTCATGTCGGGTGAAAAAACGCATGATCGCACGGCAAGCCTGGTGCGTTTCTACTTGGGTTAAAACAACCCTTAATCCAAACGGATACTCTTAACAATTTTGCTGCCAGAACAGTGCGCTATGGTAAAAGATGGGCCCTTTGCCCACCACGTGGAACAATTCTGATTCAGCTTTTCGTTTAGATTTTGTGGAAATTTAGGGCCTGAAGTCATACACTGAAACCATTCGATTCTACGGATGGATTTAGGAGGAGTGATACCAGGACAGAATTCTTGGATTTTGCAACGATAATTCTGACAACATTTGGGAAAGGTTCGCCCATTGCTTCGGGCGCGCCACTGCTTCTTTTCGCCGATTCGAAAGAAATTTCACGCATGCTGGGAAAAATAACTTAGCATACCAAGTCTATGCTAAAATTAAACCACAATTTCCACTTGATTTGTATTAACAGATTGCAAGTGAGCCCCAAACTGCTACTGCACTTTTCAATAAACGTTTAAACTAAGCTGTGGCTTTTGTTCAGCCTAGTTAGTTCATTTAAAGTCTGGGCAGTATTCCAATTCATTTAAACTAAGGCAGCTAAGGTAACCTCGCTTAAAACCACCCCTACTTTCTGGATTTGACTGGTCTGTTTGAAAAATGTAGCCTTACGGATCTGAAAAATGTAGCCTTACGGACTACATTGAAAAATGTAGCCTTACGGACGTAATACAGATCTGAACTATAAGCTCCTGTGCAAAAACTTAAAAGCAATGTGACATAAACCACTATTTGCAACACGAAAAGTAGTGGAGACCAACAGAACAAAAATTAAAATTAATAAAATTTGTAAAGAACTACATTTGCCTCAGTACGCGTCTACAGTACTGGAACTGGTAAATTATTTTTGACGCTGTCAACCAACCAAGATCGTATACGGGTTGCAAAAAGAGGACCGGCAGAACGGGAAAGAAAGCGCAATTTCAAATTCCAGGGATCCGAACTTAGATTCTTTTCAGTTGCATGCTCGGGAGAATGGTTGTTCCGGCATAACTTTGGGGGCCCCGATAGAACAATTACATAGTCGGGTTTACATTTAGGCTGATTCAAATTTGCTGCGTGGTATGACCCTACAATTTGTTTTGACCTCATAAATTCTCCAGTTCCAGACAGATCTTAGTATTAACTTCAAAATTAAGCCATGCACAGTCTCGAAATTCCATTCCACGGAGTCGCAAGCTTCAAAGTATAATTTAGGTATGGGTCAGAGCTGACGAGAAGTACATTATCAAGTACAGCAAGGGGTAATGGAGTAATATTTGGCAATACTAGTAGAGGCGAATATTTTCAAGCAGCCCGAGTTTCTTGGCAAGGAACTGCCTGAAATCCTTTAGCTCGCGCAAGAAATCCTTTAGCTCGCAAAAAAATTATCGCTAGTCCTGAACAAGTCGAATAACTTGCACGAAGTGATCTCTACGTCTAATGGCTTTTCTCTGTACATTTCGAGATGGTTACAGATGTTGTGTGATTTTCACGTAGTCGAAATTCTTGTGTCTTATGTAATTTATGCAAGCTTGCACAGTGTTCAGCAATAATTGAAAAATAAGTTCATATTCACAATGCTAAAAACATATTGTGCGTTCGACGTACAGTGTATTTCACAAGTACACTGCTTCCTGCAGTCAGTAATGGTAGTTTATTAGAGGATGGTTGTTAACAATGCTATACTTTACGCAGTGCTCTGATAAAATTCCGGATGTCCTCCGCTTATGAACGAGGGTCTGTGTAAGTGGAAGGAGGCATTGTTCGAGGCGTGGTATCTGACACAGAGCTCGGAGCATCGGACACCGAACGCGAGTCGCTCCAATCGTCGTTCTGGTCTGGATTTGCAAGCAAAGAGCTGCCGCTCTCACTCTCGTCACCGTAATCCTCCTCGAATTCCAAACCCTGAAAAAAAAAAAAGTTCAGAAAGCCCCTGTGGCTTTTTCACTCTCAAAACAATAAAACTACTCCGAAAAATTTCCTCAGAGACTTAAACTATCAGATTCAGGTTATTTTGGCGAGGCGAAAAACTCGCGATGTTTATGTGTTTGGTATTCATACCCGCTTTGTCTTTACTTTCAGCATACAAAAAATATGACCTGCGTGCAGACGAATGAGCACACCCATCAGTCGGACGAGGTTAACTTCAGGATGGTGCCAAGCATTCGGAAAATCTGCGTGAAGCTTGCTTTTTCAGCCCTTTAGTTATCTCGACCAAAAGGGATTGAAGGTAATAAGCTGGTCAAGCCCTTAAATCACCAGGTATTTAGATTTCGATTGCCTCCCACTCATTTCCCCTTAAGCAAAAGTGTTCACATCCTGTTAATCAGTTGATGGTTCAACCGTATTCTGCCATATGCATAAGTAGTTACGGCGAAGTGTAAGAGAGTCCTAAAGAGATGGTGAGACACGGCTAAATCCGGCCTTATCTACCTAAGCCGGATTTTGTAAATTAAAAAATGGTCGGGAGTTTTGTTCAAAATCAGATCACGTGGTGGTTAATTTTTATTCGCCAGTCTTTAACCGAGTCAAACAAAGGTTCTTTTTAGATAAGGTAACAAATTCTTTTTTTTTTACATAAATCGAAAATTTCTTGCATGCATGGGTGAAGCAACGCGTTACTGAAAGACAAGAAAATAGCTCACAGCGTCGCTGTCATACGCGACCGGATCGGGCTGCCCATCACCCATCCCGTTCAGAATCAAATGCCCGAAGTACATCGTTCCCCCGTCACAGGTCATCTTCGGCATTCAGCTTCGCAGTTATGAATATCGTCTTTCCGTGCCTTACTGTGCCTTGCAGCTTCGAAATGATTAGCCAACGGGTGTGGAAGAGACCCTCCCGGCGCCCACGCTTACAATGAAAAGAACAAACAGTTCTATCCATCCATCATTCTTTTATACCCCTGCGATTTAGCAAATTTAAGGCTGTTCAGAAATGTACTTTATTGCTCATACTCATGATTCATGAAGTTGTGGGAAACTCGCGAATTGGAACAATTGGGTGGCAACAGTGTTGCGTGCATACGAAACCTAAGTGTGCTTGAAAGCAAAATCTCTAATATGTGTGGCAGACAGAGTAGAATATCCTCGTAAAATTCCAGCTGCCTAGCTTGACTAGTTGACGAAATCGCTTTTTAGTACAAATATATCTAGCGTGTCTGAATGCTCCACACAGGGGTACGCCAAAGCTTATTTTAAGCCCAAATGCCTGCGTATGAAAAACAAATATTCTAGTAAAGTTAGGGCGATCTAATCAGCTTGGCTAACGAGTTGATACTTTGCCAAGAATTTCGCGATTTCAATCTTGTCCGTACACTGACATAGGTGTGCATTAAAAATCAGTCTGAGATCGTTAGCTCATACAAGGGCATAGAAAATTCTGTGAGATTTCAATCTCCTAACTTGTCTGGGCCCGAAAATCGTTTTGCTGCCTAAAATTTAGATATTTTCTTTTCGGCCACCGTAAATGATATGGGCGATAATTTTAAAAGAGAGAAATTTTATATAGAGTGGCAAAATGTTCAAAAGTTTTAGTTTTCTAGCTTCTCGGGTTGCTGAGTAAAAAATGCGAATACACACACAAACACACGCACATACACAAACAGCTTCTTCCAAATATAAGTTTCTGGATTTACGCAAATACGCAAAAAACAAAAAAATGGAAGGGTAGATAGGCGGTCAGTAGTTCCTCAGAATTTCGTTGTTGTGCAGCAGCACGGTAGTGGATACTCGGTACCTGGTGTTGTTTACCTCTGGCTTACCATCGATTAAATCGATTGACGGGGACAATGACTGGTAAGTAAGAGCGATAGAATTCACACAAAAATTCTAATGTACTGCATTCAGTAATAAAAAAAGGAAGGGATTTCCGTATTTATGAAGATCACGTTTGGGTAAAGCTGAGGACTAGCAAAATGCGCTTTTTTTATGAATGTTGGGACAGTGATATCGAAAATTAACTGGCAAAAAGTCGGGTTGACTGGATGGATGAGGGTAGGGACGCACTTTTACATAAATCGACCCAGACTGGAACGCACCGGGCGGGCCCGTGCGATCATGCGTTTTTGCACCGGACTTGAATTACT